ATATAATTGGATCTTGAATAAACCATGGTCGTAAGTAATAACGAGATACGGATATCGTTATTACGGATAGACCATCACGTGTGGCATTTCTTACTTGTGAAGTAAGTAGCTGATCTCACAAGTTAAAGTGTGGTGACACTTAAATGAACACGTGGATGTTTGTTATAGAACAAAACATTGGAGACCCGTCGAGAGATTCCACATGGATAACTATCTGAGTGTCGGTGGTTAATCTCTAACATTCGGTAGTGAAATTGGTCCTTTGACTTGAGGTCGTCATGGTACCTTATATGAGGACAGTCATACTTTGGCGGTGTTGGATGTTGCTCTGAAAAGGGCCGCTAATACGACATCGTTCGGGTACGTCAAGAATCGTATGAAGGTTGTGATTGATCAATAAAGGATTCGTCACTCTTAGATAGTAGGAGATTATGATCTGCGTTTCATTCAATTAAGTCAATGATGAAATCCTTGGCCAAGGTGTACTCATAAGTCGAAAAGGAGTTTTCGATTTATATTGACTTAATAGTGGAGTGAAAGATATGATCGATGATCGAGATTGACACAATTCCATATCTCGTAATTGATCGGATCATATTGACGAAGGGATTATAGTTTCACGGTAAACGAACGAATTTGGTTTTGTCATACCACGTGACATTTCCCGTCACATGTATTGCCCTGACACATTGATAGATGTCAATCAGGGACGGCGAATGTGAATTGACGATAAATTGAAAGAGTGTTTTAATTTATCAATTTTGATTAGATCAAAATAATATTTCACGTCGTTAGGCATAGTGGTCGGGAACCTAATGGGTCACACACAAAAGAGAATTGGAAGATTGCAAATTGCCAATTGATTAATTTAACAATCGTTGGATAAATTAATTAATTTGATTTGTTATTTATATTTTCGAATTAATTAATTGAATTAATTAATTCACGGACCGGACCGGACCGAGCCTGTCTGGGTTTATATAAATACATAACTAGGGTTTGAGGTCCATTAAGGTTTTCATTATTCTTGCTAGCACAAGAGAAAACCCTAGAGGCTGCAATCAAATTCTCTGTGTGGATTACCGTTGGAGGCTGGACAATTGGACAGCTGTGGTGGCGAATCAAAGTTGTGGAACGAAAAGAAAAGCAAAAGGATTGCAGATCTGGAAAAGGTACAATCTTATCACAATTCCTAACCAAACACAATGAGATCTATTGGATGGGAATCGAAATATATTTTAAATTCCGCTGTGCATGTATAAGTAAATTCCCAACAAAAGGAAGATAGAGAACAAGAAATTTACGTCGTTCAGCACTTTAGATTTACGTCCATTGGCAGAGACAAGACGAATGTCACTACACAAAAGGGGAGAATACAAAACAGTACTACATACTGAATCCTGAAACCGCGCCCACAAAGTATATACTATGAGATTATATTGAAAGTACTCAGACTGAAATCTCCCAGCGAAAGCATGTACACTAGGTAAAAAAACAAGTACCGGGGCTCCTATCTATAATAGAACAAAAGATTGGCTATTGGCCCTCTTTCATTGTAGGAAAAATAAATAAATTCCTATCATGTTCCTATTTTATGTGGGGCAAAACAAGGTCATCACATGACATTGATAGTCTGTACTAGTTTTGATAAGTCTGTACTAGTGAAACTATAGTTTTGGATTTTGTTATATTCTTGAAATATTCACCAACCTTTACATGACCAAGTTGTGTTACTTGCATTCCTGAATTGGGAATTGGAATAGGGCGACCTGCTTTCAACCGGTGGAAGAACCATTCTTCAACAGGATTATAGTTCAGTGGCCCATAGATGTAAACTGGCCTCAGAGACGTATAATTTACACCTCGTGATTCCAACAAGCTCTCTGTCTCGAGCTTGCCCTTGTGTCGGCTCTTTGGATCTACTGCATCAACCTTCAATAGGGAACAGAGAACATCTCACAGATATTACGGGAGACAATAGTGAAATCAAAGCATAGTCAAAAGATTCATAGAAATTCACGGTCAGCTTGCAAAAACAAATACGAGATAGAATACAAACCTCAAAATGTGGTAGATAATCAGTTTTGAGGTAAACGCCAGCTGAGGAGCAGTATATGTACCTGTAGATTCAGTTGAACTAGATTAGCAGGATTCTGTGGAATCTAACTCGAACATACATCAGAAACAAAAGCTTTGGTCAAGTTAAATGATCGACAAAGGCAAAGTTCATTCAATCAAGACCATAATAAGAAACAGTCCACTAAGCACCATAAAGCAACTATTCATATAGTCACAAATATCCTAGGTACTATAAATCAAAGAGAAGAAAAGATATATACGCTTATCATATTCATGATAAATCAACGCTTGAAAAATAAGCAATTTATAGTGCTTCAAAGATATATTGCTGTCACGTTATTGTGCAATTATTTTAATTCTGAACTGTTAGCTCCATTTTTACACTTAAGCAATAACCTACAGAGAGAGACATAAAATCCAAAATATTTGATACATGGCCTCGTCAATATATGATATATCTTGAGATGCATAACTTCAGCCACTTCAGGTTAGAAGCTTAGGCCCTGTTCTCTTTACCGTTTTCGGGCCGTTTTCTGTTTTCGATTTTTCAAAACGGTGAAAACGTGTTCTCTTTCCCGTTTTCGAAAACGAATTTTCGAAAACGAAAAAAAAATTTGTGAAGAAAACACAAAACGACTTTTTTGTCGTTTTGGGCGTTTTCAGTGTAAAACTTGAAAAAACTGAAAACGCGGGAAACCCCTTTTTTTTTTTCGGAGGTGGTATGGTGATTCTCAAAATTTCAAAAAAAAAAAATTTTTAAATTATTATATATATATATAATTTTTTTTTTTTTTTTTTAAGGTGATCTTGTGGTGATTCTCAAAATTTCAAAAAAAAAAAAATTTCATTTTTTTGTTTTGAGAAACAATAAAAAAGAACGCATTTTCAACAATTTCAAAACAAACACTCAAAACACAAAACTCAAAATGAATTTAAAACTCAAAACACAAAACTGAAACACAAAGAGAACACCCCCTTACTGTTCCAGATTTGGTAATGCTTCCAATATGGGCTCTACTTCGACTGCTTCCCGCCCTGAAATCATAGCACAAAGATGGATAAAGAACTTAAATTTCCCAGACAAACTAGACTTTAAGTGCATACTATCTAGGATGTGTTTGAGCCTCATTTTTCTTTGGTTGAAAATGAGGTTTGTAATCTTGAATTTTTGGAGAGTGTGTGGTTAAAAAGTAAGAAAAAAATTTAAGTTTCTTTGCAAAATATTTTATTGAGAGAACGTGTAGTTGAAAATGAGTTTGAAAAAAAATGAATTTTTAGATAATGGGGAACAAATGGGGCCTAATACTATCTAATCCTCCCAACCAAGCAATCGCCATTGTTCACTGAGCAAGAACTGAATATATAACCCATAAATGCATGAAGGACATGTAATATTAATTGGGGAGCAATCCTCACCATTTATGTCATAAACGACATCGAATCCTTCTGCTGAAAGACTGCTCTTCACAAATTCAAAGTCCTTCCTGTCTCCCTTCAGGTGCAAGATCTGTACAATGAAAATGCTATTTAGCCCCCGTTTGGCCCCCTTGAAAATTCTTCAATTTAATTCAATTTTTTCTCTCTCCCACTTTCAACCACACAATTTTCAATAAAATAATATTACACTCAAATCGAAAACTTTTCAACCACACAATCTTCAAAAAAATACCATTTTCCCCATTATAAATCCAAATAATGGGGGCCAAACGGGGGCTTAATTCATCCATTCAATGAGAAAACACCATGGTAGACCTTAAACCAATATGCTCTTATGTAAGTTTTACAATAGACAGTTTCTTCCTTTAGTACTGTGAAGTTGACCGTACCAAGCATGTTTCAAGTGCTAAGTAAACATACCTTGGATGAAAAATCAGAAAAATCTTTGTCCGATTCACCAGGCAATTGCTGGGTAATGGGTGATTTTCCTCTGGTGAACAGAGTGATCTGCGCTTATTCCAAGTACTTAAATCCTCAAATTATTGGTATATTTATGTAATAGTAATTTTTTAAGGACGTCGACTAAACCTGATGGCCCTCCTTGACGAGAAGTCTGGACAAAAATACACCAATAAATCTGGTGCCTCCCATGATTAGAACTTTCTTCGCACTTGATGCTGTGACACGCAATTCTCCTTTCGGCTGCCATATTTTCCTTTTATACTACAGCAAAATAGTGATAAGGATAGCATTAGAATTACCTCCACACCATTTGTATACAGAACAAAGTATATGGAAAGGGGATATTCTCAATCTCGAGTGCTTAGTATTTATATCAAACTTGCAACGTTGGTAACTAATTTACCCTTCATTGCCTATAAGTTGAAGCATTGGCTGAATATTTTAAGCCGATTGGGTATTAAAACAAGTTCTCATTAGTTGGATTTTTCGTAAACTTAGATTAAGTGAACACTACTCTCTCGAACCACCTTAATCTCTTAGACAAGACAAGTGGTGTCAAACTGGTAAATGTCCTAATCCATGTCTCGTTCTTACTCATTTATAAAAAATAGTGTGCACATTACATCTTTCACAAAAAATGGTGAATTTGAGTTAAGACAAGATTTCAATAAATAAGCGTGCCCAATTTCTAACCTTAAAAATAGACAAAAGGAATACTTAGTGCTAGACTCAAGGTATTAAGTCTCGTACTTTCATTCTTATTAAGAGAAAATACCCCGTTGCGTATTGTTATCATCTTTAGTCGAGGTGGGATATTAATTCTTCAAGAAAAGTATAAACACGTTAACACACAGGATCATATGTTTGTATTAAGAGGGACTACCTGAACCGAGGCAGTGAGTCGGGCGCCATTGAAATCGGAAAATGATGACTGAAGGACGGCGGAAGACGGCTGCTTGTGTTGCACCACCACCAGACTTGCCATGATTAATTCCAAGTTCCTCTACACCACCACTCTTAGTTAGAGGGGCCTCTGTTTGAAATAAAAATTTTAAGGGCTCTGATTTTTTTCTCTCTTTTTATGCTTTATATATTGATTTTCTCTCATTCTTACAATTGGGATAAGACAATGGCTTCACTCTCACCACAACTTCGGTTATATCCATATATGCAGCCTCCCCTTCCAAACATGACCGTTGGTAGATCCCGTAGTGTTAAGGGTGAAAAGACTACATTGCCCTAAGAGAAGACATAATTTGGACCCCACAACTGGGGGACCGGGTACTCGTTAAGAAGGCGGCCCATTTTCTTTAAAAAAAAAAAAAAGGTTGAACCCCAACTTTAAGGTCCCTCACGGCCCGGTCCCTGGAGTATTTGTCATCGCCCAGAGGATTTGGGCATCACTTACCAAACATGCCCAACAATCTCCACCTTGATGTCAAATCATCATGCAAGTCAGATAAGATAACAAATAGCTTAAGAGAAGAGACTTACAAGTTTGTACCGATGTTTAGAAGATCAAGGCAGCTTCTAAACTTTACCAATGGGAGCACCTTAGTTCCCATATCTGCAGGATTATATTCTAAAAGAATTTTCTCAAGTTTTATCAGTTCTTGAGAAACCATATCTCTAATGAAATGCAATCTAACATCTATATGTTTAGTACGTTCATGAAATACAGGATTTTTGCATAGGTGAATAGCAGATTGACTATCGGGATATATTGTCACATTGTCCTTAAAAACACCAAGTTCATTTAATACACCTTTAAACCACATAGATTCTTTAAAGGCTTCAGTAGCAGCAATGTATTCTGATTCAGTAGTGGATAATGCAACAACATGTTGAAGTTGTGATTTCCAACTAACACATGAATTACACAAAGTAAACATGTAGGAAGATGTAGATTTTCTATTATCTCTATCACCAGCATAGTTAGCATCGGTAAAACCTTTCAATTTTATTCCTTCAGTACTAAACTTATATATTAAGCCAACATTGCATGTTCCTTTCAAATATCTAAACAATCATTTCAAAACCTCCCAATGTTTGCGACCCGGGTTGGACATACACCTGCTAAGTGTACTAACAACAAAGGCTAAGTCAGGTCTAGTACACACCATTGAAATATCACAAAACCAGTGGCATTTGTATATGGAATTCATTTCATATATTCTTCTTCTTCTTCTTCTTCTTCTTCATTAGCAGGTGATTGTTCTTTAAATAATACAAAGTGATTAGTTAAAGGTAATGTAACAGGTTTACATTTATTCATACCAAATTTTTTCAAAATTTTCATGATATATAGAGCCTGATGTAAAAATAAAATTGATTTAGACATATCTCTTTGAATTTCCATGCCTAAAATTCTTTTAGTATTACCTAAGTCATTCATATCAAATTCATTACTTAAAATAGTTTTTACATCATTTAACAACTTCAAGTTGGGACCAATCAAAAGCATATCGTCCACGTATGGTAAGAAAAATAGACAGTCATTATTGTTTGTAT